TCCAGAGTCGACACCTGATTGGACACAAGAAGGCACAAACAGCCAATCATAATCAGTCATAATCAGTCAGTTTAACGTCGTTTACGGTGTTTGCTCGCTGGTTTCCGTCTGACGTTGACCTCGTGTTGTGTCTGAAGGACTCAGAAACCGAGCTGCCGTCACCGTGGACGTGAATGCAGGAAACATGAACGGCAGCCATGTTTGCAGGATTAGGACTCGTTAACTCTCTTTAATTAAAGTTCATGTTGGGAGATGAACGCCATCGTGCGACAGGAAGCTGAAAACGGAAGCTGTGAAATGATCCGCCCAGTCAGTAATCTGCTACTTCGTGGTTTGGATTGACTGTGAACGAAGTCGAGATGCTGAGCGCCGGCCCCGAGGCGTCCGGTCAGCTGCAGAGGTTTCTGCACAGTTTGATGGTGCAGAGTGCTGGACACCCGATCGACACGTCAACAGTTACATTTGTGCTTGAAGTTTGATCTTAAAAGCCAAAAGTGAGAGTTTTATGTAACAATCTGGACTCGATGTAAGTGATTCATGAGAATTTGATTTGTGGATTTGCTCCAGTTTGTTTGGATTTTAAACTCTGGGATAAAACTCAGCAGCAGAAACACTTCCTGTTGTTGCAGTAACGCTGCGATAAAGCGCCGGCTCTCACCTCTCTCAGAAGCTTGTCCAGCTGCCCGATGATGTGGGAGGGCGTGGTCTGTGGGCGAGAGGCGGTTAATAATCACGATGGCTTCCATACCTGCATCGTATTTTGGGGTTAAAGGTCAAAGGGGAGCGCACTGCCCCGTCTGTCTCACCTGCAGCAGCACTTTGCCGCTGTACACGCTCATGGGATACATGGTGCCGAAGGTCATGAGGGCGATGGCGACCGCAGACGCCGTGTCCACCGCGTTGAAGTTACTGAGCACACAGATCACAACACGAGAGAAGAAACGGTTCAAACATGAAGAAGATTTCCACTTTTCTAAAATAAATAAACGACATCACCGTCACCACCACAGATAATTCATCCGTGCACGTTTGCCGCTCTGAGCTCAGCACCGCTGAAGATAAAAGGGAAGCAGGGCTGGAAACAGGAAGCTGAGCACACTCGGGCTCGTGGACGAGCGTGAACGTGAGGATTTACATCCACACAGATTAAATTCTTACTTGATTTCGATGAGCATGTAGGTGATGCACAGGGACAGAGCTCCCGCCATGTTGATCAGGACGAAGGGGTTCATGCGAGGCAGCAGCACGCTGCTCAGGCCGGGAACGATGCCACACAAACTGCACACAGACACACAAACAGAAACAGGATTAGTGCACACGATCACACGATCACCTCCACATTCTCCCA